GTGCAGCTACCAGGTATAGTACTTCAAGTTCCCTTTCCGTCAACCGCCCGACAACCTCTACACATGCACAGCAATCCACAGCTTTGAAGTCTCATTCGTGCTTTGAACTTGTATAGGTGTGTAAGAGGTATAGCAACATAGTATTTATACGGACCCAGGGTAGCTACAATTCTGTTCCCAGGTATGGCGCGCATGAGGCTTCAAAGCTGTGGTTTTCAAGCTAAATTCAGGGTGGCCTGAGACCAGGGTTTGCTGCCCTAAAACACTCTGTTCAGGCCACCTTGAAAATAAAGGTGTAGTTGGCACCTTGCCAGGTATATGAGAACCAATGGCAATAACAGTTGCTTCTGAGCCAGGCGTGTTGAGTTCACTAAGAGCTTCAGAGTTGAGTTAATATTGTCACCGCTTGCCCCTTGCCTTACTGATTGGCTAGTATCGTCCATGGACAAAAACCGCTGTACATCGTCAATCACGATCTCACAGAAAAAACGGCTTTAGTCAGTTCTCTGGTGTTTACTATCTCCAGAATATTCCTAGAATCAATCGATTTGGTACAACATGGACGTGGACCTCCCCCACAGAAGAAGTGCAAAGTCTTGGCAAGCTTGTTGTACCTCATACGAACCTCAAGCGGTCCTCTGGGGTCTTCTTCAAACTCTGCTACAACTGCGACCAGGTTGTAGAAGGCTCCATGAAAAAGGTCACTTGGAGTTCCGCTCGGTTCTTTCACCTCTGGGTGAGGTCATTCATAGGTCAACGTTCCCATCTCCCGCGCCCCGGCCGGCGCCAAGCGCATGAGCCCCCCCATTGCCGGAGTCACCTGGAGCGGACGGCCGGAGTCAGAACCAAGGATCAGTCAGTCCGCATTGGGGTCATGAACTCGAAATTCTTGGGGATCCTCAAGTGCTTTTAAAGACGTTTGGATAGACATGTAACTTTCAAGAGGAAGAGAGACTTCCAATGTCCGAAGTTGGCCGTCACGAAACTACCCGCAATGAGACACCACACACGAAATACACACCAGAGGCCACGCAAAAGCTCTAATGTCTCCATTGACGTACTGATGAAGAAACCCAACAACAGCACTTTTGCGAATGGTGCCCACACTATCTCATGAATTTATAGACTAAACCTCCGAACCCCCTTCACGGACGGAACATGTTCACTCCTACTTCCCCTCACTCTCCACACGTGTTTGTCGCTCCCTGCTTTCTTTCAAGCCTTGCAGCACTGCCTCTTCTCTGATTGCTTCGACGCGCAGTTGTCGAAAAGGGGAAGCGCTGGCTTTCGTTTTGCAGCTTCTCAGGTTCAAAAGTATACAAACATGTGGGCAAGCTGGGCGTAAGCTGTGCGTAAGCTTAAGATTTTCACATGCATTTGGCGTCCATGACACCGCCCGAATGGAGGGCATTTAGTGACTGGCCAGCATACCGGCGTTGCAAGACAGTTCTCCTTCCTTTGAAACTTCTCCTTGAGATTTCTTGCAGAAAACGTTGGCACTTAAGCTGCGGCTTGTGGCTATGCAAATGCAATCAAACAAACATTTAGCGTAAGTGTATCGTAAGCTCCCCTGGCCCTAAAGCAAGCAAACACTGTGGTCGCGTAAGCACAGCATAAGTATGCAGCATAAGTACAGTACCAGCCTAAGCAGACCCTTACGAGCAGGAATTTCATTGGACCTTTTGGCCATCGAAACCGTTCAGTGTACATCCACGGGCTTAGTGCGAAAATCTCCAGTCAAGAACTTTCAGAGACCCACCTGAAGATGGATGGCCAATGTGATCGGAGAGATCCAAAGTGCACCTGGCAATGTTGTCAGGTACCAACGATGTGCTCTTATGTTTTTTGTGTGTTTTTTTACAAGCATTACAGGCCAGCGGTGGAAGACACTGGTTTTGGACAATTAAATTTTGGGTGGTCGTATCTTTTGCAGACTAGATTGCTTCAAGTATGTCATATATATATATATATGTCTTATTACATACTGCCAGTTGTTGAAGTCGAGACATGTTTTTTCAAATAGCAGATAGAAGGTGATGAGCAAACCAGGAAGTCGATACACTATAGCGTTTCCTTGCAGGGTAGAGTGTGTTGGAAGATGTTTTCTAAATGCATGGTTTTATTCAATGGGCTTGTTTTACTCAGCGTTCACAGTGTTTTGATTGCACAAGACCTACCGCAAGGAAGTTGGCAGGCAACCCATAGGTTGTTTCTAGAGGTTTCTATAGGCAGCCCATAGGTTCCCCTTCATCTTGGGATTGTGGGTCTCATATCTCCAACCCCTGCAAGGGCTTATAGGGCCAACCCTCGGAAGCAGGGTCCTCATGGAAACCTGGCTTCCGCTGTGAAGCGGGCACACTATTGAGTGGCATGAACTTGTGCCAGATGAGGTGTGCCCTTGGGGGAAAGCTTGATTGGGCTACCTTCGCTGGTGCTGCCGGTCTGCTGCTGGTTTTCTGCTGCTGCTGCCTTGCTGCTGCTGGTTGGCTACTGCTGGCGGTTGGCTGCTGTTGATTTGCTGCTGGTTGGCTGCTGCTGCTGCTGGCTGATTGCTGCCGGTGCTGCTACTTGCTGCTTTGTTGCTGCTGGTGCTGCTGCTTGCTGCTTGCTGCTGCTTGTCGCTGCCGCTGCTGCGGCCTGGGCTACAAGGCCTACTCATTTGCTGCCTGTCATTGTCTTGCACGCCCTATGATGGTGTCCCAGCTTTTGATTGGTTGCCACAGCTGCATTGCAAGGACTTTGTGTTTGGGTGTTAGTGGGCAAACGTGTTCATCTCGCCCAATACCTCGCCCACATCTCGCCCTCTATCTCGCCCAACCCACCAGGCACCAGGACCTCCAGAGGTGTGCGATGGGGATTGCCATTGTCACAACACATATGTGTATATAAGCAAAGGCCTCTTCAATTTACATGGCCCCCCAGGCAGGGAGCGATTTGCAGGGTTCATGTTTTCAAGCGTTCATGTTCACATTTTTTCGCAGGTGTGCCATGCGGAAGTGTGTCCTGCACAGTCGTTGAACGACAGGAACGCGCGCACACAGACCAAAGAAGGCAAAACGCAAGCTAACCATGGTTTTTTCGTGGTCTTAGCGTACTTCTGGCAGAGATCGGAAGCCGATGTGCCATGGGGACAATGTGGGATTTGCTCCTGTGATGTGGGATTGGTGAAAACGGTGTGCCATGGGATGATGTGGTTTCTAGCCTCTGCTGGTTGGGTGCTGCTGCTGCTCCTGCTGCTGCTGCGCTGCGCTGTTTTGCTGCTGGTGGTCGGCTGCTGCCAGTTGCTGCTGGTTTGCTGGCGCTGGTTGGCTACTGTACTGCTGGTTAGCTGCTGCTGGCTTGGTGCTGCCTGCTGTTTGGCTGCTGCTGGTTTGCTTCTGCCGGCTTGCTGCTGCTGTTTGGCCGCTGCTGGTTACCTTCTGCTGCTGTTGGGTTGTTGGTGTTGTTTTGCTGCTGGTTGGCTGCTGCCGCTGCCGCTGCCTGCGCTACAAAGCCTACTCATTTGCTGCTGGCTGTTGTTGCGCAAACCCTATCATTGTGGCAGTGTCCGGTTGTAAACTGGGCTTGGAAAGCATGGTTTTGGCTTAGATGGCCTGTTTGGTGAAGCGCGGTGTCCCATGCGAAAACTAAGTGACTCTGCCGTGACTTAGTCGTGGTGTGGTGTCACAATGTGATTTGCTTGCCGCAACTGCTTTGCAAGGACTTTCGTGTCTGGGTGGTTACCCTCGAGGTAGGAACTTAAAGGTGGTGCCAACATGTGGGTGGGAATCGGTGTGCCATGGGGGTTGGATCATTTCAGCCCATAGGAAACCTTAGAACCCATCAACGTGTAGAAGATTGAATCGCAATGGAATGGTGTAGGTTTAGAAGCAATCTAGGCTAGGAGAAAAAGTGCTTGTTTCGAAGCGGTGTGCCATGGGGATTGGGAGAGGAATACACACAAGAATGCATAGATATTTTTGACATTTAAAGAACAATTCCATGCTGTTTGCACTCCAGGTAGAAACTTAAAGCTGGTACCAACATGTTGAATCGCAATGGAATAGTGTAGGTTTAGAAACAATCTAGGAGAAAAAGTGCTTGTTTCGAAGCGGTGTGTCATTTTGTCCAAATGGGGTAAGTTCTTACATTCGTGGGGTAAGCGGGTGTGCCATGCGGGTGGGTCAAGTTCATGTGCGATGGAGTAAGTTACCACGTCGGGTAGCTCTCCAAATTGCGTTGCCATTGGGATTTGCAGTTGAAGTTTTCTCTTTTTGGAAAGGCGAATCTGGAGAACCTTGTTCTGTATGTAGCGTTTACAATGGGGAAGGCCAGCAGTCTTGACTTAAGTACTGACTTTTGCAAATCGGCCTTCCATGGTGGTTTAGTATCCCACATGCAACATGTATTAACTTCAACGGGCACCAGTATTGGTTCTTGGACTCTCTGATGCGTTCCATGCTATAACAGCAGATGCATGTGATTGATGCACAGGTACCAGGTATGATGGGCACCTGAAAGATGCCTAAAAGATCCTAAAAGCGTAAGCAGATGTTACGCGAAAACGAACTCCTCCAAAAATAGGAGTGTCACAGATGTTGATGTTCCAGTTGCCTTCCTTGGTCAGGAAATCTCGAAATGGACTGATTTACTACTAAACCATTTTAGGGGGGCTACTCGAGTTACCAGCGAACTAGTGCCTCTCTGGAGAGAGGCCTTGTTGCCACGCGCTTGCATGGTATGTTCTCATATACAGTCCTGTAGCAGAGGTTCAATAAAGATTCGCACTCAATTGCAGGTTCAGTAAGCAAGATTCACCACTGGTGAATGGGCAGGTTGCTGGGGCAATGCTTCAGTTTAAATGACTTCAAAGTGCTCAGTCGCATGAATTTCAACGTTCAACGATTTTGCGTCCATGGCATTCCATGGCCATTGCCTACAGATTCCTATGCAGGTGATGGCCAGTCACGTGAATGCGCCCAAGGTGCAGCATCATGGCGTGTGGCCGGTGGGGTGCTGGTTTGTAGACAGTAGACGCCGTTCCTTTGGTCATCCTCTTGAGCCAAGGCGAGGGGTTTGTTTGGAGCCAAGGCGGTTCATTGGAGTCTCATGAAAGCAAGCTAGCTCAGCTCAGGCACTTCAGAGATCCTGACATTAGCACGAATGATATTCACAGAAGTCTTTGGCTGCTGAAGTGAACAAAGCAGGTGACAACACCTCCAAGATGATGGCTTGGATCATTATAGTATCAGTAGTCATGCTTCCCTGAACGGTCTCTTCGGGAGTCAGCCGCATATGGCGTTTGATATACCTTTCCTTTTGCATCTTTTTGCGCCTTGCCGTGACCCGTTGAACGCCCAAACACCGGGTGCGACGCGCCGAGGAATTGCCCGTGGGCTCGGCGGAAGATTGAACTCTTGGAGCCTCGGGTGGAAGACGCACAATCGCGGCACATCACGGCAGAAGGCGAACCGGCACATTGGGCCGAAGTGGTCAAAGCAACACGGCGATTGTCTCTACCGTATGTAGTCAATGGGATTGAAATATGCAATAAATCTGATTTGGTCTGGAAAGCCAATACTTGAGACTTTGACTTAAGTCATGCTTGGGTGCAAAAGAGCCTTTGTTGCGATGAGTTTGTGAATGACACACATTGCATGTAGCTCAGACCAATTTCTCTCTTTGGACCCTGTCAGGAGCCTTGCAAAACCTGGAAGATCGCTTTGCAACAGATGCAATGTTCGAAGAAGCCAAGGGCAAGTTTCAAGTGGCTTGACAGCAGATGTTCCTTCCTGGTCGGCATGTTTGGACCTCCGTTTGTGAGCGATGGTGACAGGGAGGCTTTGTGGATTCGTGTCGAAGTCACGAAAGCTAGCACCAGCTAGCTGGAGTTGTCCTTGCTTTAGCAAGTGAGGGGCTGGAATCCTCAGGATCGCCGCATCACGTGAAAACTTCATATGTAGGGGGGGGCCCCCCCCCCCCCCC